GGGGGGGGGGGGTAGAGGGAGACCAGCATGTTTAATCCCCCACCAGAGGCCCCTCTCTGCTGGGAAGTGGTCTAGGCAGTGGCTGCGTTTCTCCGAGGCCATAGCTCACACCACCTCCCTTCAGTGAAATGCGCAAGCGAGCCGTACGGAAACTGCTGGATACATTGGCTCCTTCTCACAGCCAGGGACCTGGGACACTGAGCAAATCCCTTGCCCAGGGCCTAAAACGTAGCAGGCTTGGGATTCAGACCCTATGAGTCGGACCCCAGAGTCCATGGTCCTGGCCATGGCCCCAGGTTGCAGCAAACATGGTTCCCAGGATGGGTGGGCCATTAATGGGGAGGGGAGACAAAGTCATGGAGCGGCTCTTCCCGGGTGAGCCCTGGAGGAGCCTTGAGACGGGCACCAGGGCAGAGATGACTAACTGCTCACACGCTCTGCCTTCATCTTCCAAGGCACACAACCCGGCTACATCGCCCGACTCCCTCGTGTTGGGTGTGGCCGTGACTAGGTCCCGCCAGTGGGGTGTGGACAGAAGTGATGAGCGCCACCTCCAGGCTGACACAGGAAGGCCACCCGCACATGACCCTCCAGTCTCTTTCTCCACCTGCTGACCAAGGGCAGAGCCACGGGTGGGAGCCCACGTCCCTGATCCACCGTGTGGAAGGAGGCCTGTCAGTCAGGAGCACTCACTTAGATTTAACTGGAGGGAGAGAGAGATTTTTATTGCTCTGAGCCACTAAAACTTGGGGGTTTATCTGTTGTAGTTGCTAAAATGACCTAAATAATTTGGGTCAAATTTGTTCAATGTTACTGAAGGCTCATTCCTCCTTAGGATGCAGGGCACTGAATCCCCTATGGCTGCTGCGCAGCTGCCCCTTGGGGATCCGGGGTGTCAATCACTTGGGGACACTCACTTGAAGAAGCCAAACATTCCGAGCCGGTACTGGGTAGTCACAACCAGCACGTCCTCATAGGCTGCCAGGGCGGACCCATCGAAGATGGAGGCTGAGCCAGTCTGGAAGGCGCCCCCCGGGAGCCACACCATGACCTACGGAGGGCAGAGGAAGTTTGCAGTCAGCCTGCCCACCACCCACATCCCCTCCCTGTGCAGGCTGGGCCCTCCTTTCTTTATGAAAATATGTCTCACTTTCCTTTCTGCTGTTCTAAAGAGCAACAGAGGTTTTGTCTTTTGAAGAGGGCTCAGGGTTAAGCATGTGGGCTCTAGCATCTGGGTTTGAATCTCAGCTCTGCTACTAACTAGCTGTGTGACCTTAGGCAGATCACTTAACGTCTCTGAGCCTCGTTTTTCTCAGCTGTAAGATGTGAAGAGTAAAAGTGTTCCACTTCTGAGGTTAGTATGAGGTTTAAACAAGGTTCTGCATCTGAGGTTCATAGAACGATGTTGCCATTTCAAGTGTTCAGAAAGTATTAACTCAGTATTGAACTTGTGCCCACAAGAAGATGGACATCATTGTAAGCCAGGCATGAGAGCAAAAGTAGCTTAAGCTTTAATCTAAGGCTTCTGTCTACCTACAAAGGGAGAGGAGAGAGAAAAAAGGGAAGAGAAGTGTGGAAACTTTACTGTATTGATTAGAAAAATTGGGACCAGAGAACATAAGTCATTGTTCAAATGCTATTATCACTATTTATACTAAATAATAAATCCTTTCCATTCCCCTTTTTAAAGGTGATTAGGGACTACAACCCTTGGAGTAGGAAGAGAGGAGGAAGCCCCTGAGGAAAAAGGAGAACTGGACAGACCTTGACTTTGACAAAAGAATCTGCCACTTCCTGTGGGTAGAGCATGGAGCAAGGCACTTATGCCCCTTGTGCCTCATCTTCATCATCTGTAGAATGGGTCCAATAATCCCGACCCTCTGGGTTATTGTGGGGGTTAGATGAGATAATGTACTGTGACCGGCATATGTCAGCAATCAATAGATGTTGCTGTTATAATGCAATAGAGCAAGTCTCCCCTTGCACTGGCATGGGGGAGAGATGATGGAAGGGCGTGATTAAAAATTAGATGGTAGACCGTACCTTTTTTACTCACACAGGGATCTTTTACACTCTTAAATGAAAAGCCTCACATTATTACCTGTCTTCATCGCAAACAGAAAATTTGGGAAATGCAATTATCTTCCGTAAAAAAAGGATTTCCCAAGCAAACAAACCAACAAAATCAGAGTCCTTTTAAGCAGCGTCTTTCCTAAATGCTTCCAGACCACTAAATACTCAATAGAGGGGGAAAACAAAACAAAATAAAAACCAAAGTTCAAGTCATTAGAATGACTTTTTAAGGAAGTTATTGGCATGTCAATGATTACATTTCCCTTTCAGGGAAGAGGAGCCTGGGGTCCGGTCCCACACGCCCAGGCACCCCGCCCGGGCAGGAGCCCCGCAGGGCAGGCAGCCTCACCGGGAGCCTGGAGCCGCTGTCCGCACTGGCCGGCGCGTAGATGTTAAGGTACAAGCAGTCCTCCGACACTTCGAATTTGGGGTAATGCACCTTGAGAAAGTATTGATCTGAGAGCAGCCACTCTGGGTTCTGGAGGCACCTTGGAAAAGAGGAGAAGAAACCCCCAGAGTTGCTGTCAGCAAACTTGCCTGGGAGGGGCCAGTTCCTGTGACAGCGAGGAGCCTGGTGGTGTCCTGTGCCTGAGCAGAGGTGCCTACGGGGGCTCTTGGTACAAAGTTGATCATGACACCCCCCCCCCCC